GGGTGGAACCGAGATGCCAACCTATTATCAATTTATGCAGTTGGGGAACCGGTGATAGAAGCGTCAGATGAGTTGCCAGGAAAACATTTGTAGAAAAGACAGAGGTAAGCTACGTCTGTGAGAAAGTGACTGTAGACGAGATGCCAGATCAGGACCTATCACATTGCATATCCGTCTCTGCAAATTGTCCAGGACCTCGAGATAAACAGCGTAGGTATTAGACCATATATTGCATTAATGAAATTAGCAATTAGCAGTTTCCTTATAAGAAAATATTCACCATTAATTGACTGAAGAGCCTGTGTTAAATTCTTTAAAATTAATAAATTATTTCTATAATAGCAATAGACTTCTCGTGTCCAGTAATTGTTAGCGCTTATTCCTGTTATTTATGAGTGGGGATACTTCCTGACTTGACTTGTATCGGTTTTTACCCTGGTCGGGTTGAACCGGCTTCCTCCCGAGCAAGTACAGCATCACGGACCATCGCTGACCACGCTCGCCCATCCTGAGCCAGGTCACACGAATTGGCGAGTCAATGGCGATTCCATCGTCGAAGACTAACTACTATTGGACCAGATAGTACTGCTTAATTGAGGTAGCCCATGTCCTCATCTGCCCACCGACATGTTTTCTCCAACCAGGAAGAGAATGTGGGAGAAATACATCCTTCCTGACCTGTTGTTAGAAGTAGTTTGAAATATGAACTTATTGTCTATATTTCTGAGATGAAGTATTGCAACTATTTACGCTTTTTACATTCTTCAGTGTGTTCAACTCAACTTTCTTGTCATATTTATAACGTTTCGGCCGTTGTATCAGGTCATCCCATAAGTTCTGTCCAAATTTTAACTTTTTGTTAAAATGAACGAAATTTAAAGAGTATTTTATAATGTCTAATGGAGCTGAACGTTATTTTTATGTTTAGATGCATTTAAACTGATCAAATTTTATTTCAGAGAACAATAAAATTAAATTTTGTTTGATTAAAACCCTGCTAACATGGAAGTACCCAAGAATCATTTGAGGCACATAATGCTTTATGAGTTCAAGAAAGGAAACTCAGCAGCCGAAGCGGCTAGAAACATTCACTCAGTTTATGGAGAGGAATGTGTGAATGAAAGAACTTGCAGAAGATGGTTTGAAAAATTCAGAGGTGGAGATTTCACCCTTGAAGATGAAGATCGAACCGGACGTCCAGTTGAGTTTGATGAAAAGCTTCTTGAAGCAGCCCTTGAAAAAAATCCTGCTTTATCAGTTGAGGAATTGGCAGTGGTTCTCATTTCAAACCATACAACTGTTCATCGTCATCTTCAACAACTTGGAAAAGTTCCTAAACTTGGAATATGGGTGAATTGTCTGAAAACAACCTCAAATCCCGAGTTGACATCTGCTCTTCTCTCCATTCTCGCCAACTTGTTTCACCTTTTTGGATAGACTTGTGACTGGCGACGAAAAAATGGATCTTTTATCGAAATGTTAAGCGTCGTAGACAGTGGCTTGGTAAAGGGAAGGACCCCAGCCACAGCCGAGAAGGGAACTTCATGGGCAAAAAGGTTCTTCTTTCAATCTGGTGGGATCGCCAAGGAATAATCCACTTTGAATTCTTACCACCTAATGCAACAATTAATGCTCAAATATACTGTCAGCAATTAGAGCGTTTGAACCAAGCTTTGAGGAAAAAAAAAGACCTGCTCTAGTGAATCGAAAAAGGGTGATGTTTCATCAGGACAATGCGCGACCCCACACAGCAAGAATCACGTCACAAAAGATCGAAGAACTTGGTTGGGAGAAAATTCCTCATCCACCTTATTCTCCCGATCTTGCTCCTTCAGACTACCACTTGTTTTGTAGCTTACATAATCATTTGGAAGAAACAGCTTTTGTAACACAGGAAGAGGTTAAAACTGACATTTGTGAGTTCTTCGAATCAAATCCAAAAGAATTTTACAGTAATGGAATTAGTAAGCTTGTTAATAGATGGAAGGAAGAACTAGATAATCAGGGAAAATACATTGTTGATTGAATCTGTAATTAAATGTAACATTTGGTCACTTGTTTTCATTATTCAAAATTTGGACAGAACTTATGGGATGACCTGATATATGAGCTGAAGAAGGTCGGAGCGTACAACGAAACGACGTGAGCATGACGATAAAGTTGAGGACAACGGTCCTAACAATGTAAATAGTTTGAATAGCTCATCTCAGACATGGAACGATCCTGAAGAAGGCCAGTGTGTACAACGGCAGAAATGTAGTGTGTATGGCAATAAAGATGAGGACAACAGTCCGAACGATATAAATAGTGTAAATACCTATACCGGAGAAATATAGAAAGAAATGTCTGAAACAACGTCAGTGTGACAATAAAGATGAAGACAACAGTCCGATCAATGTAAATAGTTTAAATATTTACAATACGTTATCTCAGAAATATAGACAAATCCTGAAGAAGGTTTGTGCGTTCAACGGCCGAAACGTCGTGAGTATGATGATAAAGAAAAGGACAAGAGTCCAAACAATCCAGATGTTGTAAACATGAGCGTCTTGGTATTATCATTATTTTATCTTCGAATTACATGTGCTTTCGATTTTAGTTGTTGCTGTGGCTGAAATTCCTTGTTTCTTTCAAGGTACGAGGGTGGGACTAAAAAGTTCATAGGCTGACTGTGAAATCTTACATGCATTCATTTCAACTCTTCTTCTTAATAACTGCATGTTTTTCGATGTATGAGAGTGGGGCTGAAAAGTTCACAGGCTGACTATGAAGGATTGATGTTAGAGCTGTGAAATCTTACATACATTCATTTCAACTCTTCTTATTAATAATCGTATTGTTTTTTATCAGGTAAATATAAACCTGGCTGTTCAAAGAAGACTGTTTCTCCAGTTAGTAAAAAAAAAAGTCAATAAGAGTAGATATGACGTCATCATCACTGCAATACTGATTACCAGCCAAGTGTTTTTTCATGTTAGGGAACAGAATCAGGCAGATAATTTGGTTCATGAACCAGCTCAAAACCACAGTTACGCCCCGCATAGGTGCCATTGAAAGCAAGGGCTTCTGTGTTGGAGCATTGGCCCCATGAAACAAGAGCCCCTTCGTCAGTTTTCTAAGTCGTTTGGTCTTGATAAACTTTAGGAACTCTCATCAAATTGGCCTAGTACCCTCCACTGATTGTGTGAGCATTCTGAGAAACCAGACCACATACATGGTCGTTCATAGATAATTAAGAAAAGCAATTTGAATAAAGCTATAAACGCTTACGTCCTAGAGAGAGAGAGAGAGAGAGAGAGAGAGAGAGAGAAAGAGAAAGAGAAAGAGAGAGAGAGAATGAAAGGGGGGGTTATTTTATTTTATTTCTAGCAACGGCATGCCTTAAGAGAATTTACGTATTAATTAGTACGCGTCATCAGCGCCCTGACACGAAACATGTTTCAACAGGAATTAATATACTACCAATTATTTGTTTTACATATTTCTTTTTTATTTCAACTATTAGCGACGCTGCCTGGTGGAAGCGGTGTACATTTTTATACGTTTTTTCAAGAAATCCCAAAATTTATTGGAACCCAAATTTTCTTCTTTGTAACAATATTTTTTTCTTTCTTTTTTTTTTTTTTTTTTTTTTTGATATATGAGCCGGCTTAGTTAATTTCTCTACCTGTGTTTTTATGTTCGTCTCATTGCCATTTTCTGCCTGTGTTTTAAACAATAAACAACATGATTTGGAAACGTGAGCCGACATATCGTACAGATTTAACGTCTGACTGAATTCTAATTTCAACAACGGAAGTGTAAACGTCATTAAAGATTTTAACAGTGAAAGCGT